GAATGCTTAAGACATGGTGTTGAAGTTGTGTTGATTGACTTGGGATTAAAGGAAATGTCATTTTTAAAATTGCATATCCCATTGTGAGGATATTGTGTTATTCTTAAAGTGGATATTTGAGTCTCTTCTACGACCTTTGTTGATGTAGTATGTGGATAAGGTCGAGGTATACCAACTACAAGCAATCGTTGTTGATCTATATGTGAGTAAAGTTGAGGCATACGTGTACAAAACGACCAAGTTAGAGTAAAGTACAAGGTCGGAGGCCAAAATCCCTAACTAAATATCGGAAGGGTGTAATATTTGGAAGATAGTTGGTGAGCTAATCCTATATAGGTTACTTAGTTATGCTAGCTAATGTCATGATAGAATCACACCTAAGTTGTTTTACCTTGACAAGAATATTAAACTTCATAATTTAATTAGAAAATTTTGAGAAATCATGTTGTTGTGGATTATTATCCAAATTGATTGTTGATTTCGCTGGATTGAAAAGATTGTGTTGTTGGTTTGGTTGTTTCAAATCACTTAGTTTGTTTACTTATATTGTAGAAGATTTCCTAGTTGAAATATGTGACGATACATATAGTTGATTTGTTATACATATGCAATTGTGTATTGAGTTGTGTGATGCATATGACATGATATGATGTTGTTTAAAGTTGAATGATATGTTGAATTGTGTTGATTTGCAATATTGTGTTGTTCTAATTGATTATCATGTGGTATTATGTTGATAAGTTGTAATATATGCTATGTTAAAACATATTGAGTTGTGTATGATGATAGTATAATAGTTCCATTTCTTTGTTTATTATGTTGATTTCTTTTAAATATTAGCTTACTCTTGCCTGTTTCCATGTGGTTAGACTACGATGATTATATTTGATATGTGAGTAGAGTATGGATAGGCTATCATTGGAATTCCTCATGAGGTCATGCAGGGTGATGGAAGTGTGGATCTTTTTAAGTTACCCTGGTGTAGCTGGATAGTAGTAGTATTGTTTGGCTGACAATTAAGATTTTCTTTTCATATACTTGAGTACATGATTACTATGTGTTATATACACACACATGCATACTTGTTATATGGTTTAGTAGTTGATACACTTTTATTTATATGTATATATCTAGGTATTGTAAGTATGTAAATTCTAAGTAATTATGTTTTTATATTTTTTTCGCTGCTAATAGTAAAACTGTTAAGTGTAATGAACTGATGGATCATTACAAAAAAAAAATTCTTACTAATTATGAATGACTTTAACAATTTGTGTCCTCCTATCAAATGTGTCATGAACCCAGGATTTGATGGTTAATTCCACCGTAAACAATTATCAAATTATCATTTGGCCAGTTTGTAGAACGCTGATGAGCACCGCAACTCAAGTTGTGAAGAAAAACATATCACTCACAAGCTGCGGGAAAAAAAAAAGATTGACATTGTACATTATAAACGTTTAATAACATTCCTTCATATATTTTCTTATGGTTTTGAGGAAATAAATGGTGACACATTGGTTATCAGTTAGTACTCATCATGTAAAAGAAAAAAAGGTTCACATAAGCGTGAACAGACTTATTCCATTCATGAACTTGTTACGAAAGAGTTTGTTGGAGGCTTTTGTTGTTTATGTTGTGGTTGAGGATGGGTTAGACAATATATAATGGATCATTGTGCATGATCGAAGGATTGAAGCTCCAAATATTTGGTTTCATGGTTTTAATTGTTGCTTCCAATGGAGGGGCTGCATTCACGACAGCCGCAATTATAGGACAAACGGACACGTGGTGATCACTTATAGCAAAGACTTTCGGCTAGAGAAGCTTCATTGTTCATGATTAATTCATCCACAAGCTTTTCTAGTCTATTATTGTACCCAATATCACAATAATTATGGAATGAGTACGTGGCCGTAACATACTGATCTTTCCATTAGAATATGTACTAGAGATGAATTTTCAACGTAACAACTTGTGACTTTTAAGAAATAACCTTGTTCTTTAAAGTTTGTTAAAAAGAACCTTGCTCTTTAAGTGGACATTTGTACAAAAGTTGAACAAATCTATAAATAGTCTTGTACATCTCTTTCGACTGTGCAGTGCACATGCATCTTTACGTTTTCCAATTATTGAATCCGAAGATTAAAAGTTAAAGTTTCTTTGGAAAATTTAATAAGATTTTAACATGGGTCAATTTAAAATCATGGCCATGTTTGGTTTTAGGCGAAACCATGAAAAAAAGAAATTCTTATTGTTTCGATCGATAGAGAAATAGTTTTATTGCGGGAACATTCAAGAATTCTAGTTAAAACTTATAGCTATGCCTGTCAGCATGACTTCTTTTATATTTTGTTTTGCCTTGTTTGGCTTTCTATACCTCTTGTTCACGACAATTCGGATCAATCATTATCTTTAAACATATTAAATACTTTTTTCTCGAAAGTTATTATAACATAATTATATCAATATACAAATAGTTACGTTAATTAATTTTATTAGATTTATAAAATAAAATTATAATTTTTTTTATTATTAAATTTTTATGAGAAGAGTAAAGATATTATCTTATATATATAAAAAATTTATGTACTAATATTAACAAAAATAATAAATATTAGTTAGAGAAAGCCTAAGTGAAAAAAAAATATTTTTATGATCTTTAATAAAGATAAACAATAAAAAAATAATTTAATACTTCTTAAAAATTGTAAGATACTTTATAAATGTTTTATTAGTAGAAGCCATGTCTTACAAATGCATATTAGTATTTGATGTTTAAGATTTTGACATGATACTTAATGAATACAATTAATATGTATAATATAATAAAATAAATTATGTAACTTTTCAATATATTCTTAAACATTTTGATTCTTACCATTAAAGAATGTATTAATAATGACTAAGAGTATAATAGGAAAAACATATTTAATGTTATATTATATTGATATTGTAAAATAACAATCAAATTAAAACAAACATGAAATGTTCAAACATCAAACAAAATAAAATAAAAAGAGTCATAAAAATTAGTTGATCCTTGACCGTGTTTAATATACAATCATCTAGTCTTAAGTCTTTGTAAAAATAAAAGGACAAAAAATAAAATAAAATAAAAAGTATAATCTATAATGACACACAATATACATTAAAAGTATACTTATAATATACTATCTCAATATCAGAATTAACATATATATATATATATATATATATATTACATTTAAAAATAAATTAGTCTACACATGCAGACACACCTAAACCATGTATAACTTTTATAGTCATCTAAAACTTAAAATGAATATGGAAGCCAACCGAATATTATATTAATTAATTATATTTCTCTTGATGGTTATTTCTTATACGTGTAGATAGATGATTAATTAATTATAATTAAAATGAATCTAAACTCTAAATTATAAATGTTTTTCTTTTAGAATCGTATTAACTTTATGCACATATATATTCTATTATATTTTGGTGAAATCAATTGAATCAACTTACATATCGTGACAAATTTGATCCCTAAGATAGTAAGATTGTACATGAAGCGTGTCAAGTGAGGGAGGGTGCGGAGAAAATACAAGCATTACATCCATCTCTTCTCTTATTTAAGATGCAATTTAAACGAAAAAGAAATGGTTTTAATTTATTGATTCAATGTGTGGACAACTTTCCTTACACAATTAAACAACCCTACAAACTCAAATGCATAAACATAAAAAGGCCAATAAGTAAGAGTTCGTTGGGTAAGTATATGAAGAATTTTCCTTAAACAATGGTCGATAAACAATGTTTGTTGGCAAGAAATAAACCATGTTCCTAATGGTTTGCGGACAAAAAACAGGACCACCAAACCCTATTAATCAATGATTATATGTTAAAATATTTCATAAACATAATATATATATATATATATATATATATATATATTCATATTTTATTTATTGAATGAAAATAAAAGTTTTTGTAAAACTCTCCGTACACACATCTATGATGTATTTACTCGCATATAACATTTCTCTAATTCCTCATAATAAAAACAAATAAAATAAAGTTAAGGAAATCCCTTCTTTTCTTTTAGTTAGAGAAATATAATTTTTTTTACTTCTCTTTCTCTCCCTCTTTTTTTTAATCATATTTATTTCTTTTCCTAGCTTACCAAACAGGCCAAATTAAAGCAAGTATGTATATGCCGAGTCTAGCTAGTTATTTTGTAGCTAGCATTCCTTCTAATTTCCTCAACAAAAAGTTAAATATTTTCATTAGTTTTCACTTCTTTCAATAACTTTTAAATATGAAAAAAAAAACACAAAAACATGGGTTTCTTACAAGTTTGAGAAAAACTAAAATTAAAAATCAATTATTAAGAACAAATTAAAAGAATGTTATAAAAAATATATTTTTTATGTCTATATATTTTATTTTATGGATGGTTAATTTTTTTTTTCTGAAATAAAAAGTTTTGCGAAATCAAATAAAAGTTTTACAAAAAATAAGAAACAAAATGGTAACAGCAGAACTGATGCAGGAGATGTGGCAGGCTCAAATTATCATCGGGCCCACAAATTATTGAGCTACACAGTCTCTACGTATGAAGGAAAACACAAAATCATTCTCTTTTGCCTTGTTATGGCAAAGAAAGGTGACACCTAGAACCTTCTCTTCATTTCCAAACCACATTATTTATTTATTTTCAATTATTTCTTCCAAAATATTACATTGAGTAATTCATGTCTCTTTTTTCTTGGTCTACGTTGTTATCTACTAATTAATGCCAAAGTTTGGGATTCATCAGAACTCAATTTCAAAAATTCCAATAATGTTATATACCCCGCGTGTAATTATGACGAGCTTTGAAAACCTTCTTGTTCATATCTTTCCCGTATCGTACGATCCATAAAAATTAGGCCAAATGGCTACTGTACGTGGCAACCAAAGAAACCATTATAGATTATTTAGGGTTAGTAATAGTAGTATAAATAGATGTGAGCTTATAGTTCAGTCTTCACATAACACCACAGGACTACACATCTCATCATTTCATCACTCCAAAGTCCAAAGCAATCTTCACACTTTCTCTCACAAATTTTTCTCAGTACCTTTTTTTATTTTTTGTTTTTTATTTTTAGCCTTCTATTAATTTAAGCTCTTTGATGGATCAAAATCAAAATGAGGGTCAGGTTCTGATGAAAGTTATAATAAACAACAAACATTTTTTGAATAGAACTTTGCAGTTTGTTCTCTCAGTTTCAGTGTTTTGTGTTTTTGTTTGGTACTCTTCCGGCTTTTCCATACATCCTCAGTCTTTCAGTGCATACTTCTCCACGTGCCTTCTCTCCATGTTCACTCACACCCTTGAAAGGAAAATCATGTTTCTCATTTGCAATGGAATCCTTGCATTTGTAGCCAAGACCTCACTCATGAAGAATTCTTCAGATTCTGATGATTTTGATGACCAGTTTCAACCTTCCAATATTCTGTCAGAGACAAATTCAAGGGTTTCTGACATGGTGGTTGTCCCTTTGGTGGAAAGTTTTGAGTCCCCAGAGAATGTTCCTCTCATAGAGGAATACAATGAAGAAGATTCAGAAGGTGATGAAGATCAAGAAGAAGGTACCTTGTGTAGCAAAACCGAAGGAAGCGAAAGTGAAGGTTATGTTTCACAAGAGATGAAAGAAGGAGAATTAGAAAGTGAGGTTGAGGAGGCAGAATATGATGAACATGGAGAAACAACAATGACAACAAATGAAGAGCTAGTGAACACAGAAGAACTGAACAGAAAGTTTGAAGAGTTCATAAGGAAAATGAAAGAAGAGATCAGAATTGAAGCTCAAAGACAGCTTATTGCAGTTTAATAAATTAGTGCATCTGAATCTGATGTAGTGAAAGATGACAAAGAATAAAGTGGTTTAGTCTGTTTTCAAATAACTAAAGCATATTATGGTTCTCTTTTGTTCTAATTTACTTCCTTTTGTTTGCATGTGTTAGTGTAGACCTAGTTATTCCATTTCCACTCCTCTAGCTTCTTTCCTTTTCAGTCTGCTAAATTTTTCTGTCATGTCGTTTTTAAAGTTAGTGTACGTACTATAATATAATGCATCTCAGCCTTAAAAACTTCTATATGTCGCTCTCGTTTTGTCTCATGATCTGTTGCATTTTTTTCCTCCATAATTTTCTATTGTTGTTTCTTTTAATCACTGTACTTTTTTTTAATTAAATTAAATATGAAATATGAACTTAAATATGATGTAAATGATATAGTTACATGAGACACTACAATAAAATTATCACGTAATAATATATATTTTATAATAATAATATTTATTTGTTAAAAATTATATTAGCTTACATAATTAATATATATATATATATATATAATAATATATTATTAAAAGTATAGATATAAATTATAATGATATATAAAATATATTGTCAAATTTTATTAAAAATTAATATTAAAATAAAATATAATTATATATATATATATATTTATTTATTTATTGTACTTATAATAAAAATAAACATATATTCCAAGATTTGTTATAATGAAAATAAAAGGAGACATATATTCCAAGATTTTGCCCGGAGTCCGAATGAAATAATTTAGTGAAGAATTTATTATATGTGGAGGAAATGCAGGGAAGGACAATATGTAAAAAAATAATAATAAAAACATACTACGTGGGAATAAATATTAAATTTATCTAGACTATAAATAAATGAAAACAAGTGGAATTTTTTTATTTTTATTTTTATTTTTTTTTATGGATGGTATATCAACGTTGATCCCTAAAATTAAAAGAAAGACCGTTAAGGTCAATTGGAGAAACTGTGATATATATATTTTTTGAAATAAAATGCCAAAATATTTTAATGGCATAATATTAGGAGCAGTTCTATTTTTATCTAAAATTTTTCACAAGGTAGTTACCCCTGCATAGGATTTGAACCCCTGACCTTGCTTAAGCGTGAATCAACCCCTACCGTTGAACCACACGCTTAGTTCTTCGGATCATATATAATTACAAATGAAACTGTCAAAATGTTATAAAAAAACTAAAAATGTTCGTGTTTAATTTAACGTTAGATATATTATTAAAATAAATCGATGATTGGAATTGTAAAAATTATTTTGTCATAAAAACCCAAATATAAAATGTATTAAAAAAAAGATAATTGTAAACTAATACTCTTAAACTACTAATTATAATAAAAAAGGTAAATTTTTTTTGAAATGGGTGAGAAATAGAAAAAAGAATGAAAATAAGAAACAAGAGAATAGAAATAAAATTGATGGTTTAGTTGGTGAGAAATGAGAGGTGGTACGTACCATAGAAAATAGCACAGAAATGCAGTAGAAAATAACTATTACAATTCATTTTACAAAGATTTTTCGAGTGGTTAAAACTGTCATAAAGTGTATTATTTTTATGATTTTAAAATGCTTCTAGAATTTTTACGTCTCAATTTTTCTTTTTTTTATTTTTATTTTAATATTTTTCTAATAAATGCTGACAATTAGAAATCTCCTCAAACTATTAGAATCGATTAAAAAAATTGTATCCAATTAAACATATGCCAAACATTTATAACTTACAAAAAATTAATTTTATCACAAAATATTTAATTATAATATTATTTTTTTATTTTATTTTTTTATTTTCTATTTCTTTTTTCTCTATTTCTCACTTATTTATGTTAAACTAAATAATTAATTTTCACTTTATTTATTTATTTATTTACATATTTTTACATATTTAGTTCTTTCTTATCTATTTTTCTTCATTTTATTTCTTACATACACGCTCTTGATATATATATATATATATATATATATATATATATTATTTATTTATTTATTTTTGTTTTTGAAGAGATTAGTCTCATGACTTTTGGTTGCAAGGATACCTTTGCTTTTAGAAGGAAAAAAAAAATAGTTTTTTTTTTCTACAAAAAGATTATATCACAATTTCTAACTTTTAAAATCTGTCTCATGAGTCACTTAAACTTCTAATTAGAGAAAATGTTATTACTGTTGTGAAATCAAGATCAATTCCCTACCCCTCTTGAGTTTAAATACTCAATCAACACCCCAAATTCCCCGAACACAAATTCTCTACGTTCTTTTCTCAGTTTCTGTGCAGCCAAAGCTCTATACGATTGATTGCAACCACCACCGCATATTTTCAGGCTCGTACTAATCGAAAAGAAACGTCCAAGTAGAACATCGCACGCTAAGAACATATATAATCCATGCATTAGTACTAAATTAGTTAGATATTTATTTGATAACATCAAAAGACTTAAATAATACGTCCCCTTACTAAACTAAACAGTACAATCAATGTTCACCGGTTAATAAAAAATTTCAAAATCTCATGGCCAAGAAATTGTAAACAGTATTATTCTTTATCAACCTTTCTATTGTGACCGAATATCATGGACAGGGTCTTACTCCTTAGACCATGAAGGGACCCTCTTCAAAGTGAACATGAGGATTTGATGAATTGAACGAATCGCGTCAAAATATCCAAACAAACATGCATCTATTCATCAGCCCTAAAAGGAGAAGTCTAGAAGGGTCAAGGACCCTTGCTAGCTTCATGATGGAGAAGCCCTTCAACTTGGAGACACAAAACAAATTATATTTGTTGTCACGTTCCAACAAAATAGAAGGGCGCAACATAATTGCCACTAGCATGGATCAGTACATCAATGATCTTTAACAAAATAACAAGCTTGTTGAAAACATTGTTTGGAAAAAATGACATTTGATTGTATAAAGACAAATGCACAACTCGCAGCCCTATGTTCATTCATCAATCACTCACGTGGGTCCAAATATTAAACTAAAATGATAGGACAGAAAAAAAAATAATTGAAGAGAATATGTGGCCACTAGTTCAGCTCACTTTACATGATATATATCAATTAGCTAAACCTGAAGAAAAGATATGAAAAAACACAAATATTACTAGTCAATGAGACTCCGGAAAATTAATATAATTTTGCTTAAGCATTCAACAAATTAAACTAATGAAAATATGATCATCATATATAGCTTGTCCGGAATTTTCCATCAGTATCCATTCGTCTCATTAGTGGACCTTGGAGACTTATCAGTCATCAGTAGTTGTTAGTAGTTAGTTTCAATTAATTGTAAATACAGTAGTTATATTAATTACTTGTCTGTTAAAATATGATATTTTTTTTTTTTTTTTTTATCTAATTATATGCTGATCATTAGGCTATGATTCAAGATCTCAAAAGAAGATTGAAAAAGCTGGTGTTGTCAATTGCGTACGGCATATGTGTGATATCTCAAGCAGACAAATGTCTCAACATTCTGCTGTTTACATTCTGCTAACAGTCATAACAATGCCATATGCCCATATTATGGTATCAACAATTGCTTAATATGATTTTTAAGCACTTGAGCAATCAAATTCTCTTTTCAATTAATGTCAAATTTCCTTACTTCTCCTAATTGAACTGTGTTTCTCCTCTAGCAAAATTGTTGAAGATTATCATCTAATTGTGACATTTGGAGGCCATATCCACGAGACATGTGATGGCAATAGATACTTTCACCATTTTTCACGCTTTACCTAGGTTCATTTACTTTATATATGAAGTGTCAATACTAGGAACATAAACATTTTAATACCGTTATTAATGTCTGAAATATAGGATATTGGGACATTGCACATATATATGCAAAAGAATATATTTGCATATTCCTGTATATTTATCTTTTTCTTCTGCTGACAATGCGTCTCACAGAAAAATACCTGGAAGCAGTTTTTATGATTTCTTTACAAAAAAAATTTCCAAAATAAGAAAACAAATTTATATTTCAAGAAATGTATATTTACCTTCTTAAAGTTTATTTATGATAATTAATGTGTCTCTAAAGAAAGAAGATAATATATTATTTATAATATTTACATTAAATTTTAATCTTTTAAAAAAATGAATAACACATACACGCATAACTAACAATTGTATAAAAATTAAAAAAGGAATAATATATACATGCACCACACACGTTAAAAGTGAATAATACATGCACCAGAACTTCTTTAAAGATTAAAAATAAATAAATGACTTATGCACACGCACAACACACATGTACATATATATCTTACTTCTTTAATCTAACAACACGTGCGTGTATCACTACTAGATTTTAATTTTTTAGCAACATTTTCTTGTTTACATTTGTTAAAATGTTACTAAATATTAAATAAATAGGTTATTTTGCAACACTTTTTTAAAAAATGTCATTATAGATAGAGTAACATTTTTATTTTAATATTATTCTTTCTAATTGTTTTCAAAATCAAGGTCCCATATAGAGTAAAAATATTTTACATAAGTTATTTGGCAACATTTTTTTTGAAAAATGTTACTATAATTGTTTCTAAAATCAAAGCCCCACATCAAGTAGAAAAAAATATATTTTTCTTATCTCTAATTATTATCCATAATTAAAGTCTCACATCGAATAGATTAATGACTCATAAAGAGTATATATAACCATATAGTTATACTTAAGATAAATGAAATTTGATATTTTATATATAATTAGTGGTAACTAATTAAGAATGTCTTCTCCTAAAAGGTAACTAAGAATTCCTAAGAGCTTAACAGACATAAAAAATATAATAATTGATAGTAATATATCTAAATTAAATTAATTATTATTTTATAAATTAACAAAATATTAGCAACATCATTAAAATGTTACAGAAATACTACTTTGCTAACATTTAAAAAATGTTACCTAATTATATAAAAATGTTATTAAAAGTCTTTAGCAACATAGACTATATACAACATTTGATAATATGTTGCTAAAACAAATTAGTAACATTTATACATCATTAAGTAACAATTTTCAAATGTTGCTAAAAGCTATTTGTGTTGTAGTGTATACAAAGTTAAATTTTAACAAAATGAAATAGGAGCAATGTAATAAAATATCTATATTAATAGTGAGCATGTACACACACACACATATATATATATATATATATATATATATATATATATATATTTTATATATTTACCTTTTTTTCTTCTAATAATGAATCTCACAAAAGAATATTAAGATGCATTGTTTATGTCTTTTATTATAAAAATCTCAAAATAAAAATGAAGTTATATGTCTTTTTTAAAAAAATCTCAAAATAATGTGGTCCTCGCATTATGAGAGGTTTAATATGGCCTTCGTACTATGAAATGACCAAAAAAAAGTACTCCCATAACTTCAGTGATGATTTAATATGTAGTTCTTATACAATTGCATAATTTCCAAATCGAGAAATTTATGGTGAAAAGTGAAATAACTATGAAATTCACCAAAAAAGCGTTTGAGGCATGACATGTGAAATGTTACTCAACTTCACGAAACAAATGAACTGCAAACCACAAAATTGCACTTTGTTTCTTACTATTTTGAATTCCTATACATTGTCCAATGTCCACCACTTCCTTCATTGCAGATGATGATTATGTGTCTGACATTGCCACTGTAATTGTCATAATTATAGGTAGGATATTAACTGTCATATTAGGTTGTTTTTATCTTTTGCTTTGTGATGGTTTTTATTCACTAAATTTCTGTTCTGATTGAATGATCTAATAATCTTAATTCAATTGTCATTTATGTGAAGATTATTCTTGGCATTTGGTGTTTGTATACCATTATTAACAACTTCACTTAAAAATTTAATTTCAACCTTTACCTAATTTTCTAATTTTCAACTATTTTTCAGTTTTACCATACAGCCTAAAATTATTAGACACGGCATTATTAATTGCTGGCAGAAACAAAAATCAGCTGCCAAATTCACAACAATCTTCTCTTTCGTCTAATATCTAATCAAGCAAATCGCCAAGGGCATTGTAAACTTGAGTAAAATCCTTTGAGGGCTTGCTAACTGAATACGAAAGTAACATTAAGCATTTACCTCAATTTCATAGATTATAAAGGTCGGTAGGATGAAAAAAGGACACATTCGAAATTTAAAAACAGCGCATGCTCGTTAGCAAAATCCTTTGGCATTAGAAAATTCTCTGTTGCTTGATTACTAGTCCCGGAGAAAACAAAGCAGTAGGCACTAACGCAACAAATCATATCTGAATGTACATGTAAAATAGGCCATTTTACAATTAGCAGAAAGTGATTTTTTACATTTTCCTTTCATCGCTTCCTGTGCATGCATTCTTTACTTGGCCACTTGTTTCCATTGCACTATAATGACTCCATTGGTTACAAACTTGCAAGTCACAGACTATGTTTACATATATACAACTGAACACTCCAAACTAGCTGGCTGGAGAAACAGACATGTTCATGCAGACTCCATCAGCCTCAGGGAGATTTCTAACCTCATTAAGAATCCTAGTAACTTCTTTTGTCAGTTCTCTCCGAACATAGTCAGACCGCTCCTTTGTAATCGAAGATTCTGAAAACAAAGTTTCAGCCAGGGACTGATATTCTTGAAACCATTCCCCACCAATACCTTGGTTATTATGATCATCATCAACAAGTAATGAGCATTCCCGTCTCCATCTACCTAAAAGGTATTTATCAGGAAGCTGAAAGTAATTCTTTATTACAAGTACACGAAGAGCATGCCTGCATAATATTCCTGAGGATTCAAATTCCTTGCAAGAGCAATGTAACTGATCATCTTCAGCCAACCATATCACGAGCCGTTCTCCATTCATCCTTTTGTAGTGCCGGACAATATATGATCCGTTGGCCATTTCGGATGCAGCATATTGCATTGCCAGCATTAACTCTTGCTGCAAGGCATTAAAGGCAAAAGGTGTGAGAATACTCCGTGCATGCTCTTCAATTGGTATGCAGGTTTTGAGATGAATATATTGAGTCTCCTGGTGTGCTTGATGTTGAAAACTAGCAGTGATGCCAACCTGCAACAACATCCACAAGGGTTTAGAAAATCATTAGAGTGAAAAGTGAGTAACTAGGCTAGTGCAAGTATAAGACAATGAACCTTTTTGGATATAAGTTTAGAAGTGCTTTTGAGAATTTCTCTATTGGTATTTTCAGTAGAAAAATTCTCAAAAACGCTTTTACATAGTATCCAAACAGGTTCAAGATGCTTCTGACCAACAATACCTGCTCAAAAAAGCTACGCAAACATGTATGTGTAGCAAAAATCCCTTTCAGAAATGCATCTATAGACTTTGAGTAAGCTATGGTTTCCATTCGAGCCAGAAAGTAACCCCTTACATAGACTTGTGCCCAGGATGCTCGAACAGAATACAACAAATCAGTGTGTTTATCTGAACCAAGTCCAAACACAGAAATCATCTGGCTCCACTGAAGTTCAAATTCCTCTGTACTCTCAATATGAAATAAGGCATCGAACTCAGATTTAAATTCTGCATACCGAGAACCCAGAGGAGGAGAAAACCAACAGGGTACCTTGTATAGAAAATTCCACTGAGGAATGACATGTTTAGTTCCTGGAAGTTCACTTCTAATGGCATCTCTAAGCCCCGGGTCTAGATCAGTTAGAATAGTTTGTGGAAATCTTCCTCTCATTAACCGGACAAAAGTCTGTATTGAGGAATAATCACTGTAAGAGGAATATTTACAAAAGGAACAAGTAAAATTTTATACAGAGGATGCTAGTATTAAACCTGTAACGCCCATGAGAAGGATTGGTGTGTTTCATCCTGCAATAAAACACAACCAAAAAAAATGGTTCTGCCATAGCTATCAATACCAAACCACACTCCAAAAAGCAATCCATAAGTGACAGATCGATGAGAAGTGTCAAAATAAACCACATCACCAAACATAGCATTTGCATTAACCGAGTCGCCATATGACCATGCTACATTTTCGACCTTATCATTCGCATCCATAGTAAAATCATAAACAAAGTCATTATCTGCTTCTTTCATGGCTTTGCACGCCTCAAGAAGTTCCAACACATCATTTTCTCTTTTCTCATTGAGCAATGCCTCGTTCTCTTGAACAACCTTCTTGCGGTTTTGAACAAAGTTCCTCACATCCCTTTCCAAGAAAGGAAGTTGGCCCCCTTGAATCCCCTTCTCCAGCTCAAGCATTTTCACTATCCGATGTATCGGAAACCCGGCCTTGGAAAGCAAGAGTATACGCTCTTGATCAGCCTCATGAATCTTACGATATGCCGGCAAAAGGCGCACTTGATCATCTTCCAAAAGTTCATGATTGTGCACATTGCTGAACTGCACAATAAACCACTGGGAAACACCTTCTACAACCTCCTTGGACAGATACATCTTTGCATCACATCCACACCTCACTGATTTCCTATCTCTATGGTGTTCTCCATTAGGCTTCTTCTTCACCGGGGCAAAACCGGACCGGTAACAAACGAAATCACGCTTGTAAATCCCCAACTGAGGGCTAATTCTAGATCTTTCTTTCCTAATTGAAAACCCATTCTTCCTAGCAAAATTGCCATAATACTCAAAAGCCTCATCATCACTCTTAAACACCATCCCAACATAGGGAGTAATCATAGCTCCAGAAGATGCTTTCTCTGCCTTCACCAATTCCGGTGCTGCAGAACCCTCCTCAGCATCACCCTCATATGTAATATAACACTTCCAATCTCCACAAGGGCATTGTTGCCTCCGAATACATAGGTTTTTCGAAGGTATGGACGTCATTTTTCCACTTGAACAGAGTGTTGATGTTACTCAAAGTTTCAAACCTAAGTGACCCAGAAACAGGTAGTGTTAAAAAACAAAACTTTAAACCTTAACGTAAACAGAGAAATAAACAAAACCGAATATTGGGCAAAGTAAATAATAAAAAAAAGATTTTTTTTAACACCCAAAACATTCCCAGAGCAGATATTGAAATTGCCGCGAGAAACAGGTTATGGGCTGGCAGAAAGAGAAGCTTGAAAATTTTGGTCGCAAGGGAAAAAAATGAGGTAGCACAAAAAACGCAAAGGTTTTGAGAAAATTAATGAAGGTATGTGAGTAACATACCAAAGAGAGAGGAGTACAACGAGCTTAAACCCTTGTTCTCTTGTTCATTTTGTTCCCCAACTCCGGTTCTGTTCAGAGAATTCCACGAAAAGAAGAAGAAATCCAATTTGGATTTTCATTTTGGGCTAGTTTGTCTATTGGGCCTTATGAAATTCAATTCAAACCCAACCCATCCTTTGTAAGAAGGATTTGAGGCGAGAGGCCACAGCCCACACACATGGCATCTTGAGGTGAATTGGTGATAGAATAAAATTTAGGTAGATGATATTCACACCTCCACTCTCGTATAAACACACCTCCTTTTTTAAAAAATATATATAAAATGTCTAAATTACCCCTAAAAAAAATACACCTCCCTTTACCGCACCCCGTTCCTCGCATCCCACACCCCCTTCCCCGCACCCCCGATCAAATCATCATCATCAACAAAGGGATGAACATGAACCAACCTCTTCCTTGGTGATCTTGTTCTTGTTCTTCTCACTATTCCATTGGGAGGCTAACAATATCCCCAATCATGCGCACCACCTCATCCATGTTGGGCCTCTGGTCGAGCACAAGCGCAACGCAGGACATGGCAATCTGCAACAACTGAACCATCTCCTCTTCGATGTTCTGGAACCTCATGAGTTCCGCGTCGATCACTTTCGCGGTCCACTCTTCGCGCACCACTGACTGCACCCAACGTGGAAGGTCGATCCCTTTCTCGCTCAGCGAGGCTTGGTTCGGCGCCTTGCCCGTTAGGAGCTCCAGCACCAGCACGCCGAAGCTGTACACGTCGGATTTCAATGTCACCTTTCGGGTTTCCAGAACCTCCGGAGCCCGGTAACCTGCCACCCGGTTCGAGGGAACCGGGTTCGCGAATATCGGTTCAGCCCGAAGTCCGAAACGCAGAGGTCGTGGTTCGGGTGGAGGAGGATGTTGGAGGATTTGATGTTGCCGTGGACCTGTTTGGCTGACACGTGGAGGAACGCCAGGCCTCGTGCGGCTCCCAATGCTATTCTCATTCGCGTGTCCCAATCTAGCGGCGTTCGCTCTGACCTTCTGCTCCCTGTTGTTAAAACGTTAATAGAGTTATTCGTGTGTCCCAATCTAGCGTGCTGGTTGCACCTCCGCCGTTGATCTCGCCCTCGACACCCTCTGCCGCTAGATATTTTAGCATCGAACAGCTCGCATTGCTCACTCAGGTTTCTTCTTTCTTATGTTTCATGCCTCTTCAGAAATTGTACCCCCTCTGCTCTTGTTTTTGGGAACTAGGAACTCGGAACAACCCCCTTTTCTTTTCGTTTTTTTTTTTTTAATTTGGGATGAGAATTTTGGGTTACCAATTACTGCTTCAATCTATCCCATCACAAGGTTCTATTCTACCGCTCTTGTCAGCGACTGAATAGCTGATTTCAAAGAGGCTTTAGGAAGGAGGGGGTGTGTGGTGTGAGGTGTGGGGTGTGGGGGTGCAGGGAAGAGAGGTGTAAATTTAGAAAAAATATTTTTTTTAAGGGTAATTTAGATATTTCATATATATTTTTTAAAAAAGGGGGTGTATTTATATGAGGGTGGAAGTGTGTTTATCATCTGCCTAAAATTTAAGTACTATTGTTGATTTTATTCAAGAAAAAAAGCTACCATCTCGTATAACAAAAAAAAAAAAAGTGATTTTGTTACAGAAGTGAAGATGAAAAATAGTATCACTATTATAGTAGTTATAGATATCTAATCAAAATAGAAAATGACTCATTTCCACTTCAAATTTATGATGTATGGGGTGATAATTTTAACCCAAAATAATTGACATTTCAGCTTCATATTTTCTGCTTTTGTCTTAATGATTAAAATTTGAGATGAAATGTTTAATTAAAAATAACAACAACAAAATTGGCCATTCATCTTGACATTTAAGTTTTTATTTGGTGTTAAATTGTACATTTGGCAGCGAACACAATTGTTTCATACTGTTCAGGTCTTTTCAATTTAGAACTTGCTCAAAAGGGAGAAAAAAGCGTTGGTCTTTTGGGATAATGCGATAGAATTTGCTCAAGGGTGCAAAATGGATGTCAAGTTCCTTTCTGGATAAGTTGATGTTCAGGATGCAACTTTCTCAGGTTCTTATTCTTGTGCCTATTGGTTGTAATGTCCTTTCATTACGTGCATATTTTAAGACATTAACGATACTCTTGCTATTGTTCATATGGGCCCAAAAAGATGGTATAGCATAAAGTTTCATACGCATTGCAAATTAATTTTATTTTTACCTGAGAGGAAAAGTCAGATTAGTATTATACGAGTGATGCAGCTGATTGTAGTAGATTGAAGAACTGTATTCCCTTTGTATGTTTTCTTAGTCAGTTCAAATGAATTGATTGGTCAATACATCTGTTCAGACTTTTTATTATCAATCATGTAAATTAGAGCATTAATTCTTCAATGATATAAAGTTGAATTTTGTTGTGGATTTGTTCTAATAATTTCACCACAAGAGTTTGCAGTTATACGAGGTAATACTTCCAGGAATGATATAATTTCCTAAATTTTACTAAGAACAAGAGCAAGGACGTATCTCAGTTGGAGAGCAAGTAAATCTATTTTTTAGGCAATCACGGAGACATTGAATAACCACATATTCACAGACTTCATATTATAGCAACAAACAACTGTCAGTTATTCTGTTTAGTTTGTTTTGGCCTTTATCTTTTGCTATATAATGACCATCTATCTTGTAATTCATACACAATGATCATTCAATAATATAAATGAATTTCAGTTTTACAAGTCTGATCATACTTAAAGATAACTTAATCACCAAGAACATAATGTTGTCCAAAATCCTTTACCCCCTCAGCTGCAAGTGCAAATCAGATTTTAATTTCAAGCAAGGGTTATTGTAATTAGCTGGATGGAGGTACAATGTGCTTCTTTCTCACCAGTTATCAGATGAAGGGTACAAAAAGTTAAAAACTAATGAATTTCTTGATGCCATTTACTTCTGTGTTATTACTTAATTTGACTACTATTGGATATGGAGATCTCGTGCCCTATGAGTATAGTATAACACTATATTGCTACTTTTTTCTTTCCCAAGAGGTGGTTAAAATTGGTCTTAATTAAATGTGACCAAGTTGAGAGTCGAGACTGATGATAGAAAGAGAATCAACTTTCAAACATTGAGCCACATACCCTTAACCGTCATAATGAATTAATCATGTCCAGATTAGGTAATGTATTAGGTAGCTCACTTATGCTTTATCATTCTAGCTTAAAGCCAAATATTTTAATGGTTTGAACTAAATATAATATAATCATTGCTATAATACCCAGATCATTAACGTTATCTGACTGTCAGAAAGTTAAAATAGAAAGTGATTTGTAAAACTGAAGAATGGCCTAGATATATGTGGTGTGGTGGATCGACAGATGTTTGAGTGGTACCAGGGAAAGATCAAGCTACTAGAAATTAAGGTCAATATACATGTTTTCAATGTGGATTGGAAGCAATTTGATGCCAAAACTGAATTCATGTGGCTATAGCATAGCATAATTAGGAGGTCCTTTTTTTTTTTTTTTTTTTTTTTTTTTTCTCCT